CCTTGGGCTGCGGGGCCCGCGCGTCCCCACCCCCGTTCCCGCGATGGAGCCGAGCCCCGTAGTGGAGGCTTGCTCCTTCCTCGGCACAGCCTCAAAGTGCTTGCCGAGGTTACAGGAGCCGCCAGGGCCTCCTTCGTCCTTGGCATGTGCCTAGGCCGGAAGGGAAGGGAAGGGAGCCGGCATCTGAGCAGACCGTGATGGTTCCCCCCCGGCCCTTTGCACTGGGGGAGAGGAGCAGCTAGTAGGAGTAGAGTTGGCTCGTGCTGAAAAGTCCTCTCGTAACTCTTTTCGAAAAGTTTACCAACTTGTGGGGTACTAAAATGTGTGCTAGACATGGCGAGGACTTGAAGGATGAGCTGCAAGTATTTCTACAAGTAATCCAGCCAGTTCCTAGGCTTTTTACAGGCTAGTTTTGCCTAGAGTTGCTATCTTGGTTGCATATGCTTATGTGCAGAAAGGAGGCTTCAGCTATTCCTCAAAAGGTAATTGTAAGTTCTTCTATGGCACTTAACCTGTTGCATACTATACAAAATCTTGTGGAAAGAGGATTTCTGTGTTTCACATAAACTAAACCATGTAAATAACAATGGCTTTCCCAAGGTCACTGAAAGTCACCAGTGGAGAACAGATTTCAGTCTCCTGAATCTGGTCCAGGGCACCAGCTTATTTTTTATCAAGACCTTTTTTTAAAGGTTAGAGGCAACAGGGTTATGCAAAATATGATCTTTAATTCGGGTGAACGGGCTAAAGCTAGAAAGGTAAAAGATTGGGATGCCTTCACTAACTGAAGGACTTGTTTTGTTTTCCCCTAGATAAGAAACATGCCTATCAGATTCTTCACTGTCCTGTTAGTTCAGTGCGACTTCAGTTGGTTTCCCCAAATAATATGTACTTTTAACTGAATCTTTCTTATAATGGAGACTTTGGCTTCTTTCTAAGAATCTGTTTTAATGTAGTTATAGATGATGACTGACCCCAGTGATCTTATCCTTAATGTTAATTGAACATGGTGAATGGTTTAATATTTCTTGAGGAGCACGCTGGAAACTACTTGATATTCTACTCCTTTGAATCTTTAATTGTGTGCCACCTCCCCCTCCCTTCCCCCTTAGTTTTATTTTAATGCTTATCACAAAGGGATTGGAAGTACTGAGTAAACTAACTAGCATGATTTAATTGAAGAAAAGTCTTCCAAGAGGCAAGATGCTTCTGATAGCATTGTTTAGCTCTTTTTGGAGTTTAGTGGAATAAATAAACTGTTAAAAATAAGTGAAGCTTTATTAATAAAACATCTTGAATGTAACTGCAAATTGACATTATTAGTGATACTGATAGTCTGTCACTAAACAAGGTGGCAGAAATGGTTGATTTAAATCAGATTAATTCTTATTTTGCATTAATGAGCTTTCTCTTGTTAGTGTAGACATTTAATGCAACCTGAAGTGGTAATGAATGCAGCCTTTGCTACACTTGGTGCTCCCTTTTTATAACTAGACAACACTGTCTATACCAGTGCTTCCCAACCTCTTCCTAAGCATGACCCTGCTCCTTACGACCCTGCCTCTTATCACTCTAACCTCCCTGGAATGGCTCCTCACTCCCAACCTGCAGCCTCCCACCACCCCCCTTGCCATCTCTCACTACCTCCCCCAGTCCTGCCAGAAGGGGCCAGGGCCCACAGTTCTCTGTCCCCTCCCCCTTAGGAGTGCCCACGGACAGCACAGGCAGAGTGGAGCCTGGAGGGGGAGAGGACTGCCTGCTGCCTCTCACCTCCATGGTCTAGCAGGTGGGACCCGGTGCACTAGGGTGGGGAAGCTTGGTGATGCTGCTGTTGAGAGTCCCATGCTGACCACTCTGCCATGGCAAGGCACCCCCTGCCCAGCAGTGCAGAGTTGTGCCCTGCACTGCTGCTGGGCAGGCAGCTGGTGCCTTGCTATGGTGACCCCAACTAGTATGAGGCTTGTGGCACTGAGCCTCCCTGCCCCCATGCACAAATCTGGGGGTGGATGCCCCCCCATGCCTTCTTCCCCAGGAGTACATGCAGTGTTGAGAGCCAGCCCCTCTGCTGCCCCTTGGATAAGTCCCCCATGGTTCCATCTTGCTACCTCAGCTGGGCCCCACATTCCAGTCCAGGGCCCAAGGTACCAGCTTGGCTGGGCAGCACTCCCAGCCCTCCCTCCCTTGCTGTTGGGGTCTCATTCTGTCTTTCTCCCCCTTCAATCCCCACCCCCCTGCCAGTAGGCTTATTTGGAGGAAACTGCAGAAGCTGCTCTTCTTGCTGCCTGGCTACTGTGTGTATGCAGGTGCATGTGGCACCCTCTGCCTAATCACCCTTCCTTTGCTTCCCCCCACCCCCTTGCCGGTTGGAACTCTGCAAGCCTGCAAAGGGAGCCTGCCATTTCCTTTTTTTTATTTTCCTTTAAAGGAGAAAATCTGGTTCTTCTTTGCAACCCCGTTTTTTACCATTGCAGCCTCAGTTGGAGTTGAGGCTGGGAGCCACTGGTCTATACACTTAAGCAGTTCAAGATCTTGGCTTGCTTGTTACTTTGTTTTAAAGTGGTGAATCACTTTCTTGATTTGTGGCAAGCTGCAATCTAGTAAAGTTTGGATAGAGATTGTGAGGATTTGGTTTAATGTAAAAGATTTTTGTAACGTTAATGTGTGTAAAAATGCAATTTTACATTTTAAACCTTGTATTTAAGCAAAGAATTATTAGACCAGGAAGTTCTCTTTGCTGGTTTTGCATCTTCTGGGCCTTTAGAATTTAGATTTGCTCCTCTCCCATTACTCGGTTGGAGTAAGAAAAGCTTTTCTGCCACTAAGTTTCACAACTGATGTACTGATGCTTGTAGAATGCAGGTACTCCATTATAAAGATTTCTAAATACTTAATGCAGCATGTCATCGTCCCTTTATTGATAGAAGTCTGAGGCAGATTTTTCCTAATATCTTAATTGACTAAAAGCTCAGTAATAATTTGAGGGCTTATTCTGCAGAACATCTGACTAAATTAAGACTATGGTAGGCTAAGATCTGGATGTAACTTGTTATAACTTGAACCTAGTCTTGAAAAGGGCTTATAAACCAAATACTTTAAGTTACAATTTCTTTAATATCTAACCTCTGCTTCTCTTGGAAGTCTTGCATTAAGAACCCAAGCTCAATATTTTAGTCTGCAGGTACTTATAACATATTAGTAATTTACAGGATGACACTCTGTCTAGTTGTCTACAGCCTATCACGTGAACAGTTATTAGTAAAATATCCAACAGGCTAAAAACTGCACTTGAATTCATTAATTTAAGTTTGCAGTACTCCAACTTGCAATACCATATAGACCAGGGGTGGGCAAAATGTGGTCCACTAGGCCATTCTATCCGGCCCGTGGGGCCCCTAAAAATTTAGAAAATTAATATTAATCTGCCCTGGGCTGCCTGTCATGCGGCCCTCTGGCTTGCCAAAACTCAGTAAGCGGCCCTCCGCCCAAAATAATTGCCCGCCCCGACACAGACTTTAACGGAGAAATCTCCTCATCCTAATAGGAGACTAAACATGCTCTTGCATAAATAGGGACCTACCTAAATCATGGCGGAAGTGTTCTTTTCATCCTGCAGCCCCCTGCTGCTGATTGGTGATGGGGCCCTAGCCGTCTCCCATCACTGATTGGCCAACAGGCCTTGGCAGCTGATGGTTGCTGATTAGCTGGCAGGCAAAAACTGCAGCATATTTTAAATGGTGTTTTTTGCTGCCTGGCCAATCAGCAAGCAGTGGGGGCCACGAGGGCCCCTTGGCCAATTGCAGGGTGGGGGGAGGTGCAGTGAAAAGGTCAAGATTAAAGGAGCTGCTGCACAGTGCAGTTCTGCAAATTTAGGTAGGTCCCTGTGCATAAGGCTGCATCTTAAATATTAGAGTTTGGCAGTGTACTGCAGATCTTGATTTGGTAGATGCTAACTTGCTAAAGGAATAAAGCCAGTTTGGAAGCCTCTGACCTCACTATCAAGGCAAATGAATAAAGCTGCCTCAGTTGTTGGGAAGGTAATAACTGGGGGTTCCTACCAGTATGCTTGCTCTGTCATACACTGAGGAACATCTTTGGACTACTTTGGCTCACTGAGAACTCTCAAATCAAGTGATTTGAAATAAGGATTTCCTCAGTTTTGCTGTTCTTTATTTGATTCCACATGGCAACTCTGGTTCTGAACAGAATGGTAACTGGCCCAGTTTAAACGCAGCTTAATGGTATAAAGGTGTTGCAGGACACCATGTAAACTGTCTTTAAATCAGATCAGCTTAAGCTGCTTCCTTGAATTGGCATCAGTTCAACAGATTCAACTTTTAAAATGAATTTTTTTAAGTTACTTCTGAGTGAAGATTTATTGCAACAGTAGAAGTTTATGGAGTGCCCTCCATGGAGTGCTTGCTCAAGACCACTGCAGCCTTGTCTGGTCTCCAAGTGTTCCCCAAAGACAGTCCCAGTGTTGCCTAAAGAGGTGGAGGGAGCCCAGGCTCCTTCCCACTAAGACCCTGGCCTTTTAGTCCTTCTAACCCTCATTCCCTGGTGCCCTAACCCAAGTTTCTAGTGTGCAGGGACTTTGCCTCTTGTTCGGGAGATTCAGTGCAACCTGAAGTTTCAAGAAGCTAGCAACTAGACAGCTCTGCTTCAATGAAGGCATTTATTGAGACAAATAGTTCAGCAGTTCCTCTATGCTCAATCCAATTCATAAAGCAGAGCATCTCTAAACATTGCACTGCTGTTACCTTCCCAGTCTCTCCAGGCCCTGAGCCCCCCTGAAGCCCCCTCTTCTCGTATCTGGTTGCAGATCCCCCTTCAGGGACCTAACATGATCTTGCTTACTCAACTCTCTCTTTTTTTTAACGCTGATTTCATTCAGCTCTTTCTGCCTTCAGAATTAAGATTTTTCTATAACAGAAATGAATTGCATTTTGTGGTAATGCAGCTTTGTTCAGTGGGCACTCCTGCGTTTTATACCTGGCTTTACCCTATACAGGTACTCTTATCTGTAACGGTACTGGTTTAATGCTGTACTTAATCCACTACAATTTTGCCCAAGAGGTTTAAGCCCTACTAATTACTTTTCACTACATAATTGTTTTCTTAAATTACATTCTTAAATGAGTTTGAAATTTACACTGGGACCTAGATAAGTCTTTAAGACCAGATATGGGAAGTCTACAAGCTGAAACTTTGAACCAAATAGTTTTTCAAGGAACCAGCTTTTGTCAGGATTCCAGCATTCATTTAAGCTGGCAGGTCTAGACAGCTCTAGAGATCAGTACCAAGGCAAGGAAGAAATAACCGCATTATGAGTGATGGAGTAACCAACTAGTGTATCATGGGGTAGTGACCCTATCAAATGCTTTCAAGAGACTAATATTGGGGATTGATCATAAATGTGGTATTAGTTCATATCCTTTATTCGCTTCTACAGTTAAGTATGCAAACTTTTTTTTTTCTTTTTAATTGACTAGAACAATACAGCTGTGCATATGGTTCAGGCAGATTCTTTATGCTGTGTGGCCTTGGTGGAATTATTAGCTGTGGCACAACACATACAGCATTGGTTCCCCTAGACTTGGTTAAATGCAGAATCCAGGTTTGTTCTGCATGTTGCAACGTGGTGAAATTCATAAAGCATGATTAAAGTGTGGCACAGTCTACTAACAAGCTAGGGGCTTAAATTTATGTAATAGCCAACACTTTCTGAAGCAGTGCATGAGGCTTTTGTATAAGCATGGTGTGTCTTTTTTTTGCTGCAGAAGAATACAGTTGTGAATATGGCTCGCTCAAGTTTTATGCTCTCTGTGGCTTTGGTGGGGTCCTAAGTTGTGGCCTGACACACACTGGAGTCGTACCTCTGGATTTAGTGAAATGCCGTATCCAGGTTTGTAACTTCATCTTCACTTAGTCCAGTATGTCATGAATTAATAATGATGTGCTAGTTTTAACAACTTCAAGTAGAAGGCAGAAGTGATCGCATCTGAATTTTACCTCTTTTGGATTAGGTAAACAGTTAATGGATTGATTCAAACTTCCAAGAGAAGCAGATCCCTGAATGACCTGGCAAACTCTGCTTTTGGCTAAAATAAATCAAGATTGAAACATTGTTTCATTATACTAGAGTTACTTGTAAACATTAAATGCAGCTGAAATGTCCATCTGAGTATTAAAGGAGGCAGCTAATAGTTTGCCATAAACTTACTAGTTTTATGACTGAATAGGGCAAATCCCTTTAGGCATAGGAGTAATGTACTAGGAATCTTATTCGAGATAATGTCATAGCGATAGTCATCTTAGCTATGATTGAAGTACGGGTTTTTTGGTGATACTGTTTATTGGACCAATTTTATAGCTAGAGACACTAGACCAGACTTCTGGTGCAAAATGCCCTTCTGAAAGCTTGTCTAACATTTCTCCCAGCTATATGGGTTGCTCAAAAAACACCAAAAAACCCCCTTTCTTTTTGCATATTTCCTAGACTGCCATGGCTACAACGGTGCTGTAACTCTACTAGATATGATATGCATGTCTATTAGATGAAATTAACATTGAAGCTGTGTATTGCATGGATTTGGGACTGGATTTTTAAATTGAGTCTTCCAGCAATACAGTGGTAGCTAAACCTTGGAATTGAGTTACCAGCTAGAGGTTGTGTGGTTACATTTTTCCTGTAGTCAAAATAGCTATTCGAATTTAAGTAGTAAAGCATTAGTTAAGTTTGGAGTGCTCATTGCATGTGAATTCAGGAAAAAAGTCTAAAATAGCCAAGATGAATTTACCATTACAAAAAGCACCCATGGGTCTGTTCAGTTAAAGCGGCAGCAGGCAAAATACAGTCTATGGGCTGGTTTGGGCCTGTGGCATGATTCTATCCAGTCCTACATAGCTCAGACATGGGAGATACACCATGGCTCAGGCTATGTGGCTGGTACTGCGGCCCCCAGGTGTGGAGGTGCAGCCTGCCTGTTCCTGCATGTGGTGCAGGCACATTAGGAGCTGAAGTACACAGGATAGAGTGGGGGTGGCTGGACATGTCTTCCTGGCAGGGCTTCCTCCCTGCCACTGCTTGGGTACAGGCAGGTGCCCTGCTGCTGCTACTACTAGATCTCAGTCCTGCTGCCCTGCACTCACTGCTGGGAGGGCCAGATAGAGGGGGGTGGGTGGGCAGGGTCTCCATGGAGACTGGCCTGGGAGCTCCATGGGCAAGGTGCACTCAGCTAAGTGAATAAGATGGAGCTGCAAGCAAATGGAGTAGCATCCAGGAGTGGAATGGGTGGCTAGGGCTGACGGTAAAAGGCTGGGGCTCAAGGCAGAGCCACAATACACTCCTCACACGTCCCTGCAACTGGTGCCGGTTTTATAGGAGCAGGAGGGCAGGGAACCAGCACCAGTTACAGGGACAGGCAGGGAGCAGATCGTGGCTCTGCTTTGGACCTTGGCCCCATGTTGTCACGGTGCCATGATCCCTGGCTTTGGCTCTACCCACCCATTCTGCTTCCTGCCTGCCTGCAGCCCCATCCCATCCTCCTGGCCAAGTGGACCCTGCCTTTGGGGGTCTCGGGCCAGTCTCCACTGAGATCATGCATGCCCATGCCTGCTTTATCCAGTACCCCCAGCATTGGGTGCAGGATGGATGGGCCTGAGGTTGGATAGGATAAATTGGCATCTCCCTGTCTCTCCTCCCCCCCCCCATGCTGAGTAGTCTAAACCACTGTGACAGGGCTGAGCCTGGGTCAGACCCTGCTTCCCCACCCACTCCTACCCTACCCCCAACCCTCAAGAATTCACCAAAACTCCTTAAGTAGCCCTCCAGCCCAAATACTTACCCATCCTTGTGTTAAAGAATCATCTTTCAGGAAAGAGGCAAATTCAAATGCACTTGTTACTTGCTAGAAACGTTACGTTAGTAAGCAGTGTCACTTCAAACCTGGCTAACTTCTGTGGTAGCAAAAACCTTCTTGGTGGGGTGGAGGTCATTGGGAAGAACAAAAAATGTGCCAGTGAAACTGCTGGGGTTCATTCTTAACTGCATTTTTCTTTCAGAAATTCCTCTTATCCTTGGCAAAAATTTCAAGGTTTCTTTCCATATGAAATGAAAGCTTAGCTGATCAGAATGCAATGTGTTTAAACGTGAATTAGTCTGACACCACTTGGTCAAAGTAAACATTTATATGGTAACAAAACTGTAGCTTGAAATTTAAATACTACTTTTAGCACAAGTAGATTTACGCTTTTTTTTAAAGTTTAAAAGTGAAGCTAATTGTATGCTCTTTAAATGTCCCCCAAAATGAAACTAGCCCCCTAAAATTCTTAATGAACTTGAAGCTAAAGCATATTTGACAATCCTAAGGAACAGACATTAAACAGCAGTTTAATTGAAGTCTGCTTCTGATATTGGAGTGAGCAGTTCTAGGTGCTACTTGGGGTAGGTGGCCTCTTCTTGCTGTAGGTTGGAATGATCCTCTTTGGGTCAGAGGTGGGAGCCACCAGGAACTGGCCTGCTGTTGGTACCTGTCCCTGCAGAGACGAGGGCTGTAGAATGCCTACCCCTGTTCTAATGCTTCCTGCCCACTTCTGTGGTTTTCAAATGATATTTCAGATTTAAATAATCTCATTGCCATCAGTCTCTAGTAAAAGAAGGGGATGTTAGCTGCCTGAAAAATACACAGTAAACTAAACTAAACAAACTTTCCTTTTCAAATTGAATCAATGACATATTGTAGTCATATCAATTGTAATGGTCCTTTGTAATATTGAGGAAACACTAGATTAATTTTAAAAAATGCAGGTTGGATGAGGAATAGACTCAAATCCACTTTCATATTGCAGGTATTACCTTGTTCTTACAGGAAGTAAGATGGGGAAACGTAAGACCTGGACAAGTTTGTAGTAAGAGGGTGATTGAGGATTAGGAACTATAGGCCTAAGAATACTCAAACTTCACTATTTCTAGAACAGTTCCGGAAACAAAACTAGTAACTGACACATTTTCAGCTGCTGAGTATTATGCCAAGGTAAGCTTTTTGAGGCCTGATCACTACTTAAAGCTTGTGTCAGTCTTATCTTTCAGCTAAACAAAACTGCCTGACACAACGATTACATCCAAGCCTTTTTGTGTGTATTTGGTTGCACTGATGTAACTTATGCTGTGAGTTGAGAAACTGGTGTTATCATGGAAGTGTTAACTATTGCTTAAAGCCTAACCAAAAAACCCCCACAACTTCTAAATGTTGTGGTCAGCAAAACCCTCTTAGTGCATACTATCAGATTGATAAATTTATCAACTTTTAAGGTGACGTCAGCCTCTGTTATTAAGCCTGCAGACTTAAAGATCAGCCATTGACAAATTCCCGCCCCCCCCTTTAATTTAGTTGATAAACTATTTGTACCAAGGAGCTACAAGAAAAGGAGTTGAATATTTTCTATTTAAAGGCCCTTCCCTACCACGGTGTATACCAGATAATTAACTCTCTGTTCTTTCTTAGGTGGATCCACAAAAATATAAGAATATCTTCAATGGATTCTCAGTTACAATTAAAGAAGATGGTGTTCGTGGTTTGGCTAAGGGATGGGCTCCAACCTTTTTTGGCTACTCCATGCAAGGGCTTTGCAAATTTGGTTTCTATGAAGTCTTCAAAATCCTGTATGGTAACCTTCTAGGAGAGGTAAGTTTTAAGTTCTCTAATCCGTAATTGAAACCTATTTAGTATATAATGTGGTAGTGTAGCAGTCTTCTAACTGTACAATGGAAATACTAAATTCAGTTTGAGAGCATCTGTTAGTTACATTTCTTGGTTTGATTCCTATTTTAGGAAAATGCTTATTTGTGGCGTACATCGCTATACTTGGCTGCATCTGCTAGTGCAGAGTTTTTTGCTGATATTGCTCTAGCTCCAATGGAAGCTGCTAAAGTTCGTATTCAGACACAGCCTGGATACGCTAACACTCTGAGACAAGCGGCTCCAAAAATGTATGCAGAAGAAGGTCTCTGGGCGTAAGTATTAACTCTTTCCTCCAGACTTTTTTTAAGATCTTGAACCTTGCCTTGGCCGAAGTAGTGGCTATGGCTTAAGTCGGATCATTAATGCCTTTCATGTCTGTATACAGTGTAACCACAATATTGAAAGATGACTGAAGTTGTGTGAAATCATGGTTTGTACTAAAACTCGGGCTGTGAAAATACTTTAGGCAACATGCTCCTTAGATCCATCTTTGTGGATATCTCTTGGGCTGAGTTCTGTTTGGTAACTCTCGGTTTCTGGCAGTTCCAGTCAAGTGATATTCAGCAACTTTTTTGGTTGTACAGTCAAAGGTGCTTGAGTCATTGGCATGTGAGAGCAATATACCTGCATGTTAGTCTCCAGTGTTCTGATAGAAGTGACTGTAGTTCTACATGTCATTTCTCACTATCAGGACTTGGCTGGTATGCAGACACGAATATTCAATGGGCAACTGTAACAAGTGCCACACTTCTGTAATCACTGTTTCTATCTGTACATACTTAATTTTATATGTTAATCTTGGAGATAAGCATTTCAGAGCCAATGAAGTGAACAGGTCAGTTTAACGTCTGCCTCGATGTATAGGCAAAAGCCAGAAACACTTAACCTTGTAAGCCAACATCAAAGGCTAGGTCTTACTAAACCTAACAGTAGGCTAACTCAAGTATATGAGTAGCTGAGATTAGAAAGCTTGAGGAAATTCTAGTTTACTCTTGTGTTTATATGGAATACATTTCTATTACAAATTTGAAAATGCTATAGCCTAACTTGACCTCTTCAATTTTAAGTTTCTACAAAGGTGTTGCCCCACTATGGATGAGGCAGATTCCATACACAATGATGAAATTTGCCTGCTTTGAACGTACAGTTGAAGCTCTCTACAAGTATGTGGTTCCCAAGCCCCGGAGTGAATGTTCAAAGGCAGAACAGCTGGTGGTCACATTTATTGCTGGCTATATTGGTAAGGAAGTATCCAAATACTGATAACTTCAGAAATGTTAGAGCATTTAATATCATGTCTAGAGCAGTAACTTTTAACCTTTTTTCAAATGGAGGTGGAGACCCCTTTGAATTGTAAGTGTGGGTAGTCGCATACTTTTGATCATAGTCATCTTCTGCGGACCCCTTGGACATAGTCTGCGAACCCCCAGGAGTCTGCGGACCACAAGTTGGAAAAGCTCTAGACCAGTGCTTTTCAAAGGGCTACCAGAATTTAACCAAAACTAAAACTTTTCAGGGCTTTGAAAGGAATGAGTGGCTAAATGGCTTGCCTACTCTGACAGGTTTTAAAGGATCTCTAAATCGGATAAGCTGTGGGTATGAAATGTAACTTAACTTCAGATCAGGAAGAGTATGGCTCACTCTACCAAGGCCAGCATCAGGGCTTACAGGGGGAATAGACTACTGAGCCTTAAACTTCTTATTGGAATTACATTTCTTACCTGGAAATGTGGGCTACAGATTAGCCCTGCTCCTTTAGAGCTAACTAGGTTGTACAAAGAACACAGGCTTGCTATTTGCTGGAGTGCTCTAATTGAGGCTTGTATGACTGTAAACTGTTTTACTAAGGCTATGCAAAAGCAGGCTCCACTCCTGTAGGATTTGAGTACATTGTAGCCACAGTCTCTTGTGCAGCAAGAATTTTGGCTCTAGTGCTTTTCCTGCCTTGGTTACCTGAAGAATTTTACTAATAAGATTTCTTCTTTCAGCTGGTGTCTTCTGTGCCATTGTTTCTCATCCTGCTGATTCTGTAGTGTCGGTGTTGAATAAGGAAAAGGGCAGTTCTGCCTCACAAGTGCTTGTGAGGCTTGGGTTCAGAGGTAAGGATCTTATTCTTCTAAATCTTATTTAACGGGAGGCATGTAAGAATAAAAATTATGAGTGGGAAGGGCTATATCAGCTTTTTTAAGTTGTTCAGTTTGTAGTGGATCTAAGTTTTGGTGAAGGTGAACTCCTAAGAAC